AAAAAAAAAAAAACAAGGAAAATCAATCTATATTTGGATGAATCGTAACAAACTATTTTTTCTTTTTAAAAAATGTCAAAGTAGGGGCACTTGGGTGGCTCAGTTGGTTGAGCGTCCAACTTCGACTCAGGTCATGATCTCACAATTTGTGAGGTCAGGCCCTGCATCGGGCTCTGTGCTGACAGCTCAGAGCCTGGAGCCTGCTTTGGATCCTGTGTCTCCCTCTCTTTGCCCCTTTCCCACTCACACTCTGTCTCTCTCTCAAAAATAAATAAACATTAAAACAAATTTAAAAAAATGTCAAAGTAGATTCTTCTAATCCATAAATACCTTCTATGTCTTTTCCCTCAGTGAAGTCAGGTTCTTTAGATGATATCTTGCTCATTTCCACAGATTTTACTACTTGAGGAGGACTCCTTGCTCGGGATAAAAAGCACCCAAAGGTCAAACTGCTTAGGCGCTGGCCTTCCGAGAACTTTGGTGTAGAGACAATGGATGACTTCTTCCCCTGAACTTCTGCAAGATCATTAATCAAAATCAAGATTGGAATTTTTTTACAATAGTTTATTAAACACAGAACCAAAGCATATAAGATCTGGACAACTTACTCTTTATACCAGAAAAAAGCCTGCAGTTCATCTACAGTAACATGGAAACCTCAATGTCTGGCATCACATGCTAATGTTTAAACCTGTTTATATACTTTGAATGTTCTAAATATTTTTTAACTGCAGAGAGAAAAATATTGAATCCCTTTAAAAGTAGTTCTCAAATAGGGGCGCCTGGGTGGCTCAGTCGGTTGAGCAGCCGACTTCGGCTCAGGTCATGAACTCACAGTTTGTGCGTTCGAGCCCCGCACTGGGCTCTGTGCTGACAGCTCAGAGCCGGGAGCCTGCTTCAGATTCTGTGTCTCCCTCTCTCTGCCCCCTCCCAGCTCATGCTCTGTCTCTCTCTCTCTCTCAAAAATAAACATAAGAAAACTTCAAAAAAAAAAAAAGTTCTCAAACAAAAACACAAACAAATAAAAAACAGATTGTAAACAAGTAGAGGTTGTTGCTTCTTGCAAAGTCACGTACTGGTAAATAGCAGTCAAGAACTGGTAAAATTTGATTAGGTAGTAATGCTACTAATGGTGAGGAAAGTTGCCAAGACAACTAAAGGAAATTCAGATCATCACTGGGGCAAATATCACATGATCACTGTAATAACTTTTGCTATCTTAGTTTTCGGTTTGCTTCTTCCAAGAGAGCAGAAAGAGGGGCTTGATGTAACATGACCACAATATGGCGAGCCTTCATCACTGCGTTAGAGGGAAAAAAAGGAGAAGGTTTTTTTAGATAGCTCATGCTATCTAGACAGAGAATTTAGATAGCTCATGCAGTGATTAATTACAGATTTAATCCATCTTCTAACACCCCTGTTTACAAGATTAAAAGCATGGAGATCCCAGTGATAGTAAGAAAAGTTTCCAAAAAAATTAAATTCTTACCTCTGGGAGAGCACCAAAGGGTTAAATTAAATAGCAGCTGATAATTGAGTGGAGCATAAGAAAAATATCTTATCTATAGTGTATTCTTTTGGGTGTACTTTTATTATTCTCATGTTGATTATCTCTCACAGAACTAATCCACAGTATTTTAATAATCATATATTTGCATATACATTTTTAAAGTACTATACTATATCTACATGATTGTATCTATTCTTCTCCAGTCCAAGCCTAGGCCCCAAGGATTAATACCCCTTAGTCTACAAGACTGAAGAGACTGCCACTGAAGACTAGAATTACAAGCTAAGAATATCAGGTAAAATATCAGCTTTTTCAGAGTAGGCTTATTATATTCAATCTGTGTCATTGATTCCATATGTAAATATGGAATTCCAAATCAACTAGGTGGACACTGACTTCTCATCATACAGGTGGAGAAACTGTGTGATAGAAGAAATATATATCTTGGTCTACATCCATGGTTCCCGGCATTCAGCTCCTAAAACCCTTGGGATTTTCTAAGTGGTAAGAGCAATAAAAGTGTCTTTTGTTTTCAGAACAAGCTCTTTCAAGGACATCGGAGTTTGTGTTGATGAGGTGATTTTTGGAAAGCCCCTAAATAGCCTCAGGATGGGGGCTGGTTGCCTGGGGAACCAACCACGGGGTTGGGGGGGGGGATTAGAAGGTTGGAACATTGAGCCTCATCCTCCACCCACCCTACCTCTGACCTCAGGGGAGCGGAGGATTGAAAATTGACTTAATCACCAATGGCCAATGATTCAGTCAGTCAAGCTGACATAATGAAGCCGCCATAAAAACCCAAAAGGATGGGCTTCCAGGATGATGAACAAGTGAAGGTGCTGGGAGGGTGGTGTGCACAGAGAGAGCATGGAAGCTCTATGCCCCTTCTCTAAGCCTCACCCTCTACATCTCTTCCATCTGGCGGTTCCTAAGTTATATCTTTTGTAATAAACCAGTAATCTGGTAAGTAAAGTGTTTGTTTGAGTTCTGTGAGCTGCTCTAGAAAATTATCAAACCTGAGGAGGGTCGTGGGAACCTTTGATTTAGACCCAGTTTGGCAGAAGTGGGGCTGAAAACCGATACTTACAACTGTGTTTGAAGTGGTATCTGATGTGGTGGGGGGTAGTTTTGTGGGAACAAGCCTTTAAGCTGTAAGATCTGATGCTAATTTTAAGTAGATAATATCAGAATTGAGTTAAATTTGTAGGACACCCAGTTTGTGTCTTCTGGGAACCGGAGAATTGCTTTGTGTGGGAAAAACTTGCACACATCTGGTGTCAGATGCATTGAGGGAAAAGGAAAACAGGAGCTTTTTCCCTTACAAAATGAGAGCCATAAGTATTAACATGCATTAGACAAAACAATTTCATAGGTCTTAAAATCGACAACCTCTCGTGGAACCAGGAAGGCACTATTACCATTACCATTTTACTGATGTAAAAAAAAAAAAAAATCCAGAAATGTAACACAGTTATGAAATTGTAGGGTGTTAAAGTTGACTTCAAAGCCCATGCACCTCTACAATGCCAGTATTTTTCCAATGAATTCTGTGAAATCCCAGGGCTTTGTGGAAATCCCAGGGCTTTCATAGTGGGTGAAAGAAGAGGCATGAGTACGGACTTCAAGCTGTATCAGAAAGCTGTAATCATCAAGACAGTATGGTACTGGCACAAACACAGACACTCAAATCAATGGAACAGAATAGAGAACCCAGAAATGGATCCACAAACATATGGCCAACTAATCTTTGACAAAGCAGGAAAGAGTATCCAATGGAAAAAAGACAGTCTCCTCAGCAAGTGCTGCTGGGAAAACTGGACAGCAACATGCAGAAAAATGAACCTAGACCACTTTCTTAAACCATACACAAAAATAAACTCAAAATGGATGGAAGACCTAAATGTAAGACAGGAAGCCATCAAAATCCTCGAGGAGAAAGCAGGCAAAAACCTCTTTGATCTTGGCCTCAGAAACTTCTTACTCCACATGTCTCCGTCTCCAGAGGTAAGGGAAACAGAAGCAAAAATAAACTACTGGGACCTCATCAAAATAAAAGCTTCTGCACAGTGAAGGAAACAATCAGCAGAACTAAAAGGCAACCGACAGAATGGGAGAAGATGTTTGCAAACGACATATCAGATAAAGGGTTAGTATCCCAAATCTATAAAGAACTTCTCAAACTCCACACCCAAAAAAACAAATAATCCAGTGAAGAAATGGGCAAAAGACATGAATAGACACTTCTCCAAAGATGACATCCAGATGGCCAATCAACACATGATAAAATGCTCAACATCACTCATCATCAGGGAAATACAAACCAAAACCACAATGAGATGCCACCTCACACCTGTCAGAATGGCTAACATTAACAACTCAGGCAACAACAGATGTTGGTGAGAATGCGGAGAAAGAAGATCTCTTTTGCACTGCTGGTGGGAATGTAAACAGGTGCAGCCACTCTGGAAAACAGGATGGAGCTTCCTCAAAAAATTAAAAATAGAACTACCGTATGACCCAGCAAGTGCACTACTAGGTATTTATCCAAGGGAAACAAGTGTGCTGTTTTGAAGGGGCACATGCACCCCAATGTTTATAGCAGCGCTGTCAACAATAGCCAAAGTATGGAAAGAGCCCAAATGTCCACTGATGGATGAATGGATAAAGAAGATGTGGTATATATACACAATGAAGTATTACTCAGCAATCAAAAAGATTGAAATCTTGCCATTTGCAACTACGTGGTGGAACTAGAAGGTGTTATGCTAAGCGAAATTAGTCAGAGAAAGACAAATATTATATGACTTCACTCATATGAGGACTTTAGGATACAAAACAGATGAACATAAGGGAAGGGAAACAAAAATAATATAAAAACAGGGATGGGGACGAATATATAAGAGAGTCTTAAATATGGAGAACAAACAGAGGGTTACTGGAGGGGTTGTGGGAGGGGGAAGGGCTAAATGGGTAAGGGGCATTAAAGAATCTACTCCTGAAATCATTATTGCACTATATGCTAACTAACTTGAATGTAAATTAAAAAAATACATTAAACAAAAATTAAAAAAAAAAAAAAAAAGGTGAGGCATGAGTAAAGCGAGTCTGCAAAACTATGCACCCATCACCTAACACTGCTTTCACTGTTTTATATCTTGATAAAAAATTACTGTTTTGAAAAGGGTTCTGTTACTAAATAAGTTTGAAAACCACTAGACTAGCCCAGGGTCTAATAACCCTGTGGATTCATCTTGTCTTCAGCTCAATGTGCACTTGAGTGGTGATCACCAAAATAGCACACTAAGTAAATCTCTATCTCTAACTCTACCACCCATCTTTAGGCTTTTGAGTTGAAAAGGAAGAAAGTAACCCAAAGCATTAAAAAATGCAAAGAGTTTATTATTCTTATCATAAAATGTTGCTCAAAATATTCAGGCTACAAGAATTTCAATCACTATTGAATATCACTGCAATGCAAGTGAAAACAGAAAATAAAATAACTGATGTTTTTTAAGCAAACACACCTGAAATTAAACATTCAAATTAATATTACCACTGTTGGGTTATCTCCAATTGGCTAGCTGTGCTGATATGGACATGTTGGCTATTTAAATTAAAATCCACTCAAATTAAATAAAATGTAAAATTCAATTATTTGGTTGTGCCAGTCCTATTTTAAGTGCTCAACAGTAAAATTCCATATAGCCTAATAAACCCAAACTAAGCTATCTTAGTCAAAATACTCATACCTTGTAGTTTTGACTGTATTGTTCTTATCTCTTCAGTTTGATTTTGGTTGATCAAACGAAGATTCTGATTCTCTACTTCCAGCTGAAAGGACATAATTGTATTCTTTTATACAGGAATAACATTTCTAAAATGTACTAATAAATTATGAATTTTTAAAATGTTACTACCTAATTACATGTAAGCAAAATACGAAAGAAATGATGAGAAAATATCAGATGAATCTATCAGCATAGTTATCAACCTAGATAATCATGGCTTTATATTTATTTTTTCCAGAACTGTGACTTTTTTTTTTTTTTTTTTTTTTTTTTTTTTTTTTTTTTTTTTAGAGAGCACAAGCAGGAGACAGGGCAGAAAATCTCAAGCAGGCTCCGTGATCAGCAGTCCAACAAGGGGCTCAATCCCACGACCCTGAGATCATGACCTGAGCCAAAATCAAGAGACAGATGCTCAACTGACTGAGCCACCCAGGTGCCCCTAAAGCTGAGAGTTTCAAATATTTTCACCCCCATGACTTTCCCACTGTAAAATTATTTTAAACCAAATTATTTCAGCATTTAATGTGCCATATAAACTAATGCGTTCTTCTCAAGATGATACTGAACACATTAATTTTATGATATACACACATACGTTCTATAACTATTTAAAATTAACTAATTAGAACTAAAATCAACTAGTTAGAATGGGGCTACTTAAGCTGTTTACTACGAGCCTATCAATACTTTTAATTTTAGAAATACATTGGACATAAAAATAAAAGCTACCTGTCTCATGTTTACCAAAAGACAGCAGCACCACCAACTGATCAGAATTTTGTTTCATTCAGAATGATCAGATATTCTGAAGACTTATCTATTCAAAAGAAGTAAAAGGTAAAGAAAAGGCAAGATATAGCAATAAATACCTCATTTAATTTAAGTGTTACCCATTCTTTGATCTTAGCTGCTTTCTCTTCTATTATTTTAGCTTCTTGTATCCTTATTTGTTTCTGAAATAACATTAGCAGTTTAGTTCAAACATAGGCTCAGTGATCTGGAAATTTTACATCATAAATATGATAGACAAATTCACTTAAAACCTGTTACCAAGTTAACACACTGACCTTCAATATACAGTAAAATACTTCAAAGAGAGTAAAAAATAAAACAATTGTCCAGCAGATATAATAACAAACACAAAGGCATATGCAAATATTATTAGTTTGAACAACTGCTTTCTCTGAAAGATCATATATTGAAATCCATCCACTGAATTTATCAATAAAGTAAACGATTTCTGTAAATGGTCTAGGGTTTATAACAGTGGGATAGCAGTCAACCAGGCTAGGGAGAGGAAAATTAGAATCTCCCCTGGAGCATGGTTTGTTTTCCCCTCAAATGCAAGTTTTTATTTGTTTTTTTTAATACAGTTTTAAAAGACCCAGAAAAAAAATGAAAGAAAAAAACTCTAGCTCACATTTACCAACCTTAAAATCTGGTTATGGTCATAAAATTACAAGAATATGACTGTCATATAAATCACAGTGGGTGGGAGGTGGGTCGTGGTGAAAAGTTAAAAACCACTGAGCTAAACAAGTACCGATCCCCAGAGAAATGAAAATAAACGGTTAAGATAAAAAACAATTTAAATTACTTAATAATTTCATAGTGGTCATATTTAAATGATGCTAAATGATGATTTAAGCAAATAACCCTTTATTTTTTATCTTTTAGAGGGGGTGGGGAGAAGCAGGGGGAGAGAGAATCTTAAGCAGGCTCCATGCTCACTGAGGAGGCTGTCATGGGGCTTGATCCCATGACCCTGGGATCATGACCTGAGCCAAAATCAAGAGTCGGGCGCTTAACCAACTGAGCCACCCAGGTGCCCCTAAACAAATTATGTCAATGCAATTTTTTTTCTTTTTTTAAAAAAATTTTTTTTTAACCTTTATTTATTTTTGAGACAGAGAGAGACAGAGCATGAATAGGGGAGGGGCAGAGAGAGAGGGAGACACAGAATCGGAAGCAGGCTCCAGGCTCTGAGCCATCAGCCCAGAGCCCAACGCGGGGCTCAAACTCACGGACCGCGAGATCGTGACCTGAGCTGAAGTCGGACGCTTAACCTACTGAGCCACCCAGGCGCCCCAATGCAATTTTTTTTCTTAATAAAATTTTAAAATAAACTAGAAACTATACTTAATCTCAATAAAGTGGTTTAAAACAGTATGCACATTTTTAAACAGAAGGATTAGCATCAAACATACATTTAAAATACAACGTTCCATAAATATTTCCAACACCCTAAAAATGTTAAGGCAAACATCTATTTCAAACATTTCACAGACAGAAATGCCTGCTGCTAACCAAGTGTTTTCAAGTTAAAAGTCTAAAGTTTGAATGTTAAGGAGCACAGTCACATCCAAAAAGTGTTAGATATGGCCTTGGAATCACCCAGACTTAAAGAAAATGCCATTTTACTTGTGCCTTTCACCAACAAATGTGATTAGACTCCATGAGTTGACCAAATAAATGAGATTTCTGACCCAAATTCAGAAGTTTGGGCTCTCTCTCTCTTTAACCTCTGTAAGAATGCATTTAAAATGCATGTATTTAGACTGTAATGATCAAATTCTTCCCAACCTGTTCCTCAAGTTGCAATTCCAAGTTTTGAATAATGTCATCTTTTTCCTGTATTAGGGTCTCCAGATCTTGACACTTTTTATACAACCTTGTCTCTGATTCACTGGTTTGAATATTAGCTGCTTTTAATTTCTCTTCCATAACTTGTACCTAAATTTAGAGGATAGAAAATTAATGTTATGCATTTAATTTTTTAGATATATATTTTTTTAATTTTATTTTTTATTTTTTAAAATTTACATCCAAATTAGCATATAGCGAAACAATGATTTCAGGAGTAGATTCCTTAGTGCCCCTACCCATTTAGCCCATCCCCCCTCCCACAGCCCCTCCACTCCATACGGAGTTTGTTCTCCATATTTATGAGTCTCTTCTGTTTTGTCCCCCTCCCTGTTTTTATATTATTTTTGCTTCCCTTCCCTTATGTTCATCTGTTCTGTGTCTTAAAGTCCTCCTATGAGTGAAGTCATATGATTTTTGTCTTTCTCTGACTGACTCATCTCACTTAGCATAATACCCTCTAGTTCCATCCATGTAGTTGCAAATGGCAAGATTTCATTCTTTTTGATTGCCGAGTAATACTCCATTGTATATATATATACCACATCTTCTTTATCCATTCATCCATCGATGGACATTTGGGCTCTTTCCATACTTTGGCTATTGTTGATAGTGCTGCTATAAACATTGGGGTGCATGTGTCCCTTCAAAACAGCACACCTGTATCCCGTGGATAAATGCCTAGTAGTCCAATTGTTGGGTCGTAGGGTATTATGCATGAAATTTTTATGTTAACATTAAATAGATTCCTAAAAGGTATCATCATAAAACAAAATATTGAACAGCACGATTTAATGTATTTAATAATTATAAAGTCTGAAGACCATTTTACCAAGTGGTGTTACCTTTGAGGGACACAAGGGCACATAAGAGAGTCTCAGAATATTGCTATCATCTAAAGTAATGTACATGTTTACTAGAACAATGATAATATTCAAGGCATTTCATGTGAGTATGGAATCAGAAAGTTTGCAGCCTTCAATTTTTCAAATTTTAAGTGAAGCAGGAATATAAAGAAGGTGAGTAGTGAGAGACGATCAGATTGGATGACCTTGTATAATAGCACATTTGGGGAAAACAAACTGAACTTAGGTGAAAAAGAAACACATACATGATGGAAAGGAAAAGGAAAATAAAAGAACTTGAAAGCTTCAAATGATGGAATCACAAAAAATTAAAAAAACTATGAGAATCAAGATACAGGTAGGAGAATGCATTCAGTGAGGGTTTATTGATTCATTCATTTAACATTCAGTGGATAGCAGCCAAGTGCCGGGCCCTGGGAAGATATCAGTGAATAAAATCTCTGCATAGAAATTACATTCTAGTGGATAAGACAGATCACAAATATAATAAAATGTAAAAATCATACAGTACGTTATACAAGGCGATAAAGGCAATGGGAAAAAATACAGCAAGACAAAGAGACTGGTGTGTGACCCAGGGTTGAGTTAAGCCTTAATTTTAATATCTAAGAGGCACTGATTTCTGCTTGGATCTGTTGCAAAACACATCTGGGCATATGAAATCTTAGAAGGAATGTGTGAGATATTAATGATAGTAAGAAAGAAAATAAAGTACTGAGCACTGTAGATTAAGACTTTTATTCCAAGTCCTAAGAATAGGTAAGAATGTAATTTTTGTAATTTTTGTTTAGATTGCAGGAGGCAAAGAAGAAAAATATGCAAAAGCATTTGAGAAATTAACAATGATAATTTAGATGAAAAAATCTTAAACTATTAAAAACACATCTGAAAGATCATGATGAATCCACTTAATGTTCAAAAATACTTGACTAATGAGGGCTTCTAGAAGGAAGGTGTTAAGATTAGTTTTGTTTTGTTTTTAACCATGAATACAAGGTTTCATCTGTAGGTTCACTGCAGAATTGTAAATTCAACTGTAATGCCAAATGTGTCCTACTTAAATACCACCCAGATATCTGAAAACTATAAAAATAAAAGTAGATTTAAAAAATAAAAGAGGGGCACCTGGGTAGCTCAGTCAGTTAAGCATCTGACTGTTGATTTTGGCACAGGTCATGATCTCACAGTCATTGAGTTCGAGCCCCAAGTCGGGCTCTGCACAGACAGCGCGGAGTCGGCTTGAGATTCTTTCTCTCTGCCCTTCCCCTGCTTGCATGCTCCCTCTTTCTCTCAAAATAAAGAAATAAACATTAAAAAAATAAAAACACAAAATAGGAGACAAAACCTGTATTCCACTATCCAAGTGATAATTTTAAGTTACCTTAAGATTTATATATTTTTTTTTTAATTTTTTTTTTCAACATTTATTATTTTTGGGACAGAGAGAGACAGAGCATGAATGGGGGAGGGGCAGAGAGAGAGGGAGACATAGAATCGGAAACAGGCTCTAAGCTCTGAGCCATCAGCCCAGAGCCTGACGCGGGGCTCAAACTCACGGACCGCGAGATCGTGACCTGGCTAAAGTCGGACGCTTAACCGACTGCGCCACCCAGGCGCCCCAAGATTTATATTTTTAACGTAATACAGCAGGCTTTCTGCAAGAAGAGCAGACCAAAAGGTCAAGGACAAAGGTCTACATCAGAGATGTTATCATGAAAAAGCCAGAGGAGGACATGGGCTGGATAGTAAATATGAAGAAACATTCTTAAGATGGCACAGCCAGTTCCACACAGGGAGCTCGACAGCTGTTGAAGCAGAGAAGAGCAGAGACCAAGTCCAAATGGTAGTTCAGGGACAGAGGAATAGATGATAATCCTGACAGGGGGCAGAATTGGCTCGCCAAAATGTGCTACTTTGGCATCTGGATTATTTTGAATTAAAGTTACCTGAGAAACAGCTGGTATAAAAACACTCTGATGCTCCTTTGTCCGCCTGAAAGTAGGAAATGTCCCCCTCCTCTACCAGGAGGGAAGAAGGCATCCTTATCACCAGAGATAGGGAATATAAGGCCTGAGAAGGCTGTATAAACACACCTTGTTACTTCTTCACTAATTTACTACTCTAAGCCCAAACCCCCTTGTCTTGTCAATTCTTCATAAATGGATTGCCTTCCTGTCTAAAAGGTATAAAAGTTGCCTGCTTTGGTCACTTCTTTGGAGTCTCATATTTTTAGGAAGCTCCCATATGTATGAAATTAAACTTGTTTTACTCCTGCTAATCTGTCTTATGTCAATTTAATTATTAGACAAGGCAAAGAAACTAGAAGGGAAGAAATTGTTCTGCTCCTACAAACCTCAAGAAAAGTTGAAGATTCTGAACAAGAATATAAATAACTATCACCAGATCTATACCTATAGTCTCCTTTTATTAAGTTGGAGCAAGCTACCCTACAAACATTGGACTGCCACATAAAATTGCCCTAATATTGGGGTGCCTGGGTGGCTCAGTCGGTTGAACAACCGGCTCTTGGTTTTGGCTCAGGTCATGATCTTGCAGTTTCGTGAGTTCAAGCCCCACATTGGGCTCTGTGCTGGCAGCAGGGAACGTGCTTGGGATTCTCTGTTTCTTCTCTTTCTGACCCTCCCCCACTCGCTCTGTCTCAGTCTCTCTCAAAATAAATAAAAATAAACTTAAAAGAATAAAAATAAGAGGTGCCTGTGTGGCTCAGTGGGTTAGGTGTCCGACTTCAGCTCAGGTCAAGATCTCGCAGTTCCTGAGTTCAAGCCCCACATCGGGCTCTGTGCTGACAGTTCAGAGACTGGAGCCTGCTTTGGATTCTGTCTCCCTCTCTCTCTGCCCCTCCCCAACTCATGCTCTGTCTCTCTCTGTCTCTTAAAAATAAACAAACATTGAAAAAAAATTTTTAATAAATACAAATAAAATTGTCCTATTATTGCTTAGGAAAGGTCTACAGTCCTAGAAAACTATGATTTGGGAGTGCTCTTATCCCCTGAAAAATATGTCCAGTTTGAAAAGTGTTCTCATTTTATGAATGAATGCTACAGTTAGAGCTCCTTAGATGAATCTTTGCCATGTGCAACTGTTTAATGCAACCATTACTTTTAGATAAACAGAACTTCTCTAAGCAAGAAAAATACTGACAAAAATGGCAAAACCTCTTAGGGAGAAGAATCACAAAGTAGTTACAGGCAACCGACTTGCCAAGTGGTCTTGTTAGGATCAAGTTCTTCAGGATTTACTAACCTTCCTTGGTAATTAGTATGAATAATAGGTCTTCCGAAAAGATAAGAGGCCTACAGAAAAACCAAGCAGCCTTTAAAAATAACTCACTACAAGTACACAGAAAATAGCCCAGTTCTTTTTCCATTCATTTAACCTGAACCATGTAAGAATTTTAACTACTCAGAGACTGGCCAATAACAAACATCTGCAAATTCAAATTGTTCGCTAAAGAAACTCTTGCAATTACTTGTATGTGGATATCCTCTGGTGAAGAATGCTTTGCACTTTAGGCTACCTTTCTCCTTTTCTTCCAGGAGAGCCTCTGGTTGCATCCACACATCTCAGCACATTCCTCAGCCATTATCCCAAAGCCTTTATTTCTTCTGAGGTCCCTGAGCTATTTTGCAGTAAAGGGTTAACTCAGCAGACTTGGGGTACTCAAACCTTGCACATTCCAAAAAACAACTGGTCCTTGATTAGCTCCTGGAAAAAATAACCTCTGAGACCTGGTAATATCCTGCCTGATAAGACTCTACATACCTGAGATATTGGACCACACCAGATATTTTATGTCAACAATGTGATTTAAGGTGAATACCTTTTTTTTTTTCCCCCACTCACCCAGGGTCCTGGGCTACACTGTATCAGTTTGACCTGTGCAGGGATGGATTCTGAGTAGCTAAGGTCAGTCTTGCATGCATTCCATGTCTACAAGACTGACACCACCACCACCACCCCATCCCACCGCCAGGGCAATAAAAATTCTGGATACCAAGGCTCAGGTGAGCTTCCCTGGTTGGCAATGCTTTGTACGTTGTCACATATCATTGACGGGAATCAAGTGCACCCCTGTGTAACTCCACTGGGAGAGGACAACTGGAAACTCATACCTGGTTTCTCCTGGACTCTGCTCTACGTGTATTTTCCCTTTGCTGATTTTACTCTATATCCGTTCACTGTAATAAATCATAACCATGAGTATAACGACTTTTCTGGGTTCTGTGAGTCCTTCTGGTGAATCGTCAAACCTTGAGGGTAGTATTGGGTACACTGACACGACTCCTAATGCTGTTTTTCATTTTCCCGCCCACCCTGAAGAAAGCAGGAGCTGCAAATATTGTTCCTGTTGTAATTACCTATGCTACTCTCTTCTTCTTCCTTGTTCTAACCTCATCGCTCCCTACCCCACTACAGATAATTAAGATGTGACTGTATTTTTGAGTGGAGGTTGAAAGTTTCTCTTTCTGCATATATGCTGCAATGGCATGACAAAATACCTGATCATTCCAACAAGGAATGAAGAAAGGAATTATAAGGGCATTTTGAATCCCAGACTGTTTACCAGTTATTCAAAATTTACTGCAAATTAAACAATTATTCTAATCATATCTTTTTGGAGGGGGGAGCACAAGTGGGAGAGGGGCAGAGAGAGGGGGACAGAGGATCCGAAGCAGGCTCTGCGCGGACAAGCTGACAGCAGCGAACCATGAGATCATGAACCAAAGTCGGACATTCAGCCGATTGGGTCACCCAGGTGTCCCCCAATCACATTTTAAACACAGTTATTTTGGAGATAGTGCTCTAGAATTTAAGCAGTGAGGCCAGAACCATTCTCACGGAAGGTGAAAAGGAATAGCACTGGATAAAGTATGTTTCCACGTAATGAAGCAAATCATTATAAGGTCCCATAGATTAGCGTGAATGAGTAGTAATCATTTATTTTTTTATTTTTTTAAATTTTTTTTCAACGTTTATTTATTTTTGGGACAGAGAGAAACAGAGCATGAACGGGGGAGGAGCAGAGAGAGAGGGAGACACAGAATCGGAAACAGGCTCCAGGCCCGGAGCCATCAGCCCAGAGCCCGACGCGGGGCTCGAACCCACGGACCGCGAGATCGTGACCTGGCTGAAGTCGGACGCTTAACCGACTGCGCCACCCAGGCGCCCCGAGTAGTAATCATTTATTAAGAACCAACTTCACAGAAAAACATATTAGCCCGCATATTAGAATGGTCAGAGGGAACTTTAAAAAAATGTTTTTATTTTTGAGAGAGCGAGAGAGCGCACGCGTGCATACGTATGAGCAGCGGAGGGGCATAGAGAGAAGGAGCCGGAGGATCCAAAGTGTGCTCTGAGCTGACAGCCTGATGTAGGACTCGAACTCACAAACCATGAGATCGTGACCTGAGTTAAAGTCAGATGCTTAACTGAATGAGCCACCCAGGAGCCCCAAGAGGGAACTTTAAAATCCAGGTCCTACCAGGTCTGCATCAAACACAGGCAAGGAACTGAGACCAGAAGGACAGAATGACAACACAAATTTCTATAGGGGAAATTATGTGCCCCTTTTTGGTTAGCATAAACTGGTGTAATAGATTGGAATATACACCTAATCATATACTTGAGAATGAATCCTCTGTATCAGTATCTCCCACATGTGCAACTTGCTGTTTATCCACCTCCCAGAAATACAAGTACAATGAGATTTACACATTCTGCTTTCAAAACTTTAAACAACTACAATGAAAAGGTACTACAGTATTAAGAATAAAGATTGCCAAGATTTCTCTTGGAAAAATGTATGATTTCTTTTCTTTCTTTTTTTTTTTTTTTTAATTTTTTTTTCAACGTTTTATTTATTTTTGGGACAGAGAGAGACAGAGCATGAACGGGGGAGGGGCAGAGAGAGAGGGAGACACAGAATCGGAAACAGGCTCCAGGCTCCGAGCCATCAGCCCAGAGCCTGACGCGGGGCTCGAACTCACGGACCGGGAGATCGTGACCTGGCTGAAGTCGGACGCTTAACCGACTGCGCCACCCAGGCGCCCCTGATTTCTTTTCTATAGCCAACTTATTTAAAGGTTGCACAGGTAAAGTAATGCCAGTCATTAAAAACAAGAGGGAAAATGAACCACTAAGATGCAGAGTTGAGCTGGTTTAGCCAACTACTGCTTTTAGCAGTGAAATGTTCCTTTTTGGTTAACATAAATACAGTTTAAGTCTTAGGATCTCACTAAATGACAAAGGACAAGCTGAATTTAAGCAACATAAACAGCAGATAGGGCACAGTCCTATGGAAACTGTTAAAGATAGCAAAGGATTCGGTTACTCTACATTAATAACATTTACTTAGTCTTGAGAAAGAAAGGTAATATAATCAGTGCATGAGATTTATTTGCTCTCTGTATTTCCTATAAACTTTTAGAATCATTACGTATGTAATATGATGTATAATGTGCGATGTACAGAATGTATAATATGTAATTTATATAATGTATAACATACAATGTATAATATATATAATATACAATAATATATAGTGTAATATAAGTATACAGATACCTACAGATTTTGCTAAATTACATAGAAATTTTGGGAGATTTGCAATTCTCACGCTTTACAGGAGGAGAGGTTTGATTTAAGGCCATTTAGCAACCACAGTGTCTTTTTGCTGTAAAATGTAGCACACAGAATTAAATAACTTTATACGTGATATCCTTAAAGGACAACTTCAAATAAGAAATTCTTCCTGTTAGTTTATGAAGATGAGTGATTGGGCCCTAATGGTTACAAACAGCCATGGCTTGCTTCCCTCAAATTGGGAATGGGGATTCTTTTTTTTTTTGCTCTTAAGATCTAGTGAATCATAGAAGAAAACCCCAAAAATCACAAATAAAAATACTTAAATTTTCAGAGCTAAACAATTATGCTGCACATATGAATTAAGAATTTTAATTTAAGAAAAGGCAAGACAAAACCATCCTCGGCTTCCTTCTATTTTTCCTATACTATGAGGTGTTAAAGGAAGAAAGGGAAGGGAAAGATAGGGAAGAACAGAGAAAGGCCAAAGTCAGAAACGGAGGTAAAGAGAAAGACAAGAGAGAGAAGTAGACAAATGCGTGCTGTAGGGTGTCGGGCTAAACAGGTACATATACATACGGAGCCTACAATAGAAAAAGACGAAGACATTTAGTACAGAATGACAGACAGTGACATAAACATAGAATGTAAGTGAACTTTTATGAGTTTACTGGTAACTACTGGATTTTTATAGCTATAAGTGGAGATATTACTATTCGGTCTTACCAGCTAAACGATATAAAAAACCAAGCACAGCATCAATCCTTACCATTACTACTCATATTTCTACCAATACCTAAATTTGAGGTTTTAAATAATTACTGGTGTGATGATGGTACTATACTTGTGATTTTAAGTCTTTATTTTTAGATTAGTTGCTGATATACTCATGGGTGAAATAATATGATGTCTAGAATTTGTTTCAAAATAACTTGGTGTGGGGGTGGAAAAGAATAAAGTGGATGGAGGTATAGATTAGCCTTGAGTTTACTAATTGTTAAAGCTGATGATGGGGGTTCATTATACTATTTTCTCTACTCTTGCACTGGTTGAAATTTGTCATAGTAAAATTTTAGGAATCTCTTTTAAGTGTAAGTATTTTTAAAAATTTATTTTGAGAGACAGAGAGACAAAGGGCCAGGGAGAGAGTGAGAGAGAGAATCCCAAGCAGGCTCCACACTGCGGAGCCCAATGTGGAGCTTGAACTCACAAACTGTGAGATCATGACCTGAGCCAAAATCAAGAGTCAGATGGCCACATGACTGAACCACCCAGGTGCGCCTGAGTATAATTAATTAAAGAAAATCAAGGGTTAGGTTAGACTGGGTTTATTTAGAAATTTATCAGGCCACTAAATCAATCTACTATACAAGATTAAATCTTTTAGGTGAAAACAAGATTTGGTAGTACTTACGTTTGGGAAGAAACATGACAAATTTAGAACATGTATAAGAAATTAAATATATACTTCCTAGAAAAAAATAATAATTTTGAAAATCCTGACTTGCCTGAACCTGACAAGGATCTTTTCATAAAATGTGAAGCTATGGATTGAGACTCATTAGACAAACTTTAAGGCTCACTTGGTGAGCTCACTGAAAACACTCATTTTAATGTTGGCAAGGCCCAGACAGGACTAAGTGACTTATCAAAGGTTTGACTTTTCTCCCAAATACCTATTAACATACTAAGTAAAAATTTGTGTTCATATTTTCCTAATATAACTCTAAGCATTTTTCTATATTAGTATGTCTTTTGTAATAATTATTTTTTAGTGTTTATTTATTTATTTTGAGAGGGAGAGCATGTGTGCACACACACACATGGCGAGGGGCAGAGAGAAGAAGAGAGAGAATCCCAAGCAGGCTTCATGCCATCAGTGCAGAGCCTGATGTGGGGCTTGAACCCACAAACTGTGAGATCATGACCTGAGCTGAGATCAAGAGTCAGATGCTTAACCGGCTGAGACACCCAGGTGCCCCTGTAATAATTATTTGTAATGGTTGTTTATTATTTCATGGAATATATACAGTTCACTTATTCATTCTCTTGTAATATGGCATTCATATTATTTCCAACTCTTTATTTCTATCAAAGAAACTGCTATGAACATATTTATATTTAAAACTTCATTATGGTTACCACTGCCTTGAAAGTCATATTTGGTTTTTCCGGGAAAGAAGACTTCCTAATGGACGCATTTTTATCCTTTGGAACTCTGTTAAGGGGCAAAATAACGTTAGACTCTCCTTTTTCTCTCTGGATCCAGCTCACAGAACAGTCAAAGAGATAAGATGTAGAGAAGGGTTAAAGACTATTTTGAGGACTGTTTTGGGCAAAACAAGGTTTATACTGGTAGAGAGAGAAAAAAATTTAACTAGAATTATACCCTACCTGTTGGAAAGCTTTTTCTGCTTGACGCTCAGCATCAATAACTTGTCTCTCAAGCTGTTGCATCTGTAAAGTGAGGAAAAACAGAGAAAATCTAAAAATTCATATTTCTCTTTTGAAAGGGACTTAAAAAATCTTGCGATGTCATAAAATTCTTTTAAGAATATTTAAAGTAGTTTAATGCATATGAATGACATACAATTTATCACATTGAGGCCTCTTTCAGTGCATATTTAAAAATTTAAAAATTAACCAAATAACATACAAAATGTTTCATACTTTTAGTACAATGCAATCTATACTACATGAGTGCTCATCCATAGGATTTTCTTCATTGACTTATGAATTACTGGTCAACACATATTAAGAACAGTAATTTAAATCTAAGAGAATAGTGAGACCTCAAATATCATATTTGATTTGTTGATCGAAAAGTCACAATGATATCAGAAAGTGGTATATTCTCACAAGCTCTGTAGGTGGCATGTTTAAGTAGAAACTCTGTTTTTTGGGTTTTTTTTTAATTAATTTGTTTATTTTGAGAGAGACAGAGATAGCATGAGCAGGGGACAGGCAGAGAGAAAGGGAGAGAGAGATAATCCCAAGCAGGCTCTGCAATGCCAGCACAAGCCAGATGCAGAGCTTGAACTCATGAAGCTGAGACCATGACCCGAACTGAAACCAAGAGTCAGATGCTTAACTGACTGAGCCATCTAGGGTACCCCCAAAAAACTCTAGCTAGTTTTAATTCTCATACATTGTAGAGTACAGAAGAGACTCATGTTAGCACACACATGCACATCCACCAAAGTGTAGAGCACAAAGAATAAAAAAAAAAAACTCCATATTTTTTTTAAAGTTCTGTAGAAAATAAAAAGTTCAGAGATTTAACAAATTGCAAGAGACTCTTAACGACAGAGAACAAACTGAGGGTTGCTGGAGGGGAGGTGAGTGGGAGATAGGCTAAATGGGTGGTGGATACTAACTAGGGCACTTGTTGGGATGAGCACTGGGTGTCTAGGTAAGTGATGAATCACCGAATTCTACTCCAAAACCAATATGCACTGTATGTTAACTAAAATTTCAATTAAAAAAAGGCGGGGGGGGGAAGCTTGGAGATTTAAAGTAAATTACTCAAATGACTACTGTAAGTAAAACAAAGAAAAGCCTTAAAAAGGACCCAGTGCAAACTAACATAAGAAATGGGTACTAGGTAGTGAATACACAACTGTGACATAAAACTCAATTTTAAATTCTTTTTTTCTGAGTGCTGAAATATGGTCAACATTATAGCTGTCTGTCCCTCGATATTTGCTCATTCTCAGTTTCATTGCTGCTTGGTGTTCCAGAACTTCCAGCGCACCTCAAACCCCAGCACCCCGGTCCCGCCCCAACAGCTGACGCCTAGCTCCAGCCCCACCCACTTCTCAGAACCACAGAGAAGCAGCTTCTCATGGCTAGAGTGTCCCAGCTGGGAGGGCTGCAGGGATCCGGTCCAGGGTGTTGCATCCACACGACTCCTGAAACAGAATGCTATGGGCACCAGTGACAGTCACAACAAAGTTTATTACAATGAGAGGCAAGGCCGACCGATCAGGACCAACACTCTTGATAAGAGTGCGGCCTCGAACAGCCGGGGTACAGAGTTTTTATAACCGATCACATCGTTTTATCACCACCTGGGAACAGAACAAAGAAACAGTTTCCAGATGAGTTAGAAACAGTTGCCTAATGAGGTGTTTACTTTAGACTTTCTGCCTCTAAGTTGCAACCAGTGGATCTCCTTGACCCTGCCTCTGATGCTCTTTTCTTTGAACTTTTGTTTCCTTAATTGGTGAAGCCTAATTTACAAGAGTATGAGGCGTAGTTTACCAGAGCAAAGCAAGGCTGTTATCTCTTAACCTCAGGGTCAACACAAAGCTGTTATTTTTCAAGCTAAGCGTTAGCCCTACACTACAATTTAACCCTTACAAGGGTGTGTCTTTTTTTTTGTTTGTTTTTAAACCAGTATGCTGCAGGGAGCATTTACTGTGTTTGACAACTATGTGGCCAGGTAACATTCAACACAGAGGTAAAGACCCTGATCACCATTACCTTCGCCCCCCCAAAAAAGAAAAGATTTCTTAAATATTTCAGAAGTGCAAAGCGTGGATATTAATAACAGTATCCGTGTTGACTGTATCAGCCTTGGACAATCCAAGATGAGCATTATTGAAAGACACTTGGGCCAAACACTGACAAAGCAGAGCCCTACAGTCCTAAAAATGATAGATTGTTAGGTTGTTTAATATTTTTAAAAGTGACATGTGGAGGGGTGCCTGGGTGGCTTGGTGGGTTAAGTGATGGACTCTTGATTTCAGCGCAGGTCATGATCTGGGTTTGTGGGATCAAGTCCCCCTCTCCCCCTCCTTGGGCTTCATGCTGGCAGCGCGGAGCGTGCTTAAGATTCTCTCTTTCCCTCTCTCTCTGCCCCTCCCCTGCTCGCACTCTCTCTCTTTTTCTCAAAATAAATAAATAAATAAATAAATAAATAAATAAATAAATCTTTTAAAAAGTGACCTGTGGATACAGATGAGGACAACTTACAAATATGTCTTTGAAAAGCACAGTGACAACTACAACCGGTTCTTTCCTACATGTCCCACTACATTTGCTGTCTTTGACAATTCAGCGTGTTTTCTGTGTACCGGGGCTTTATCACAACCTTTCTATCTGGGCCACACTATAACTTGGCAAGCTCCAATACATGACCGTGGAAGGAGAAATTGTCAAGTATAGAATCTGAAAGACAGCCTCTTCAGTAAGTCTGAGAAGTGTGCAGATTGAAGTGTCATTTGGGAGTTATCTGAAGATATGCAGCTGGCAGCTGGCCTTAAATAAGCTGGAATTCTTGCAGAAAATGCAGAGGATTCTGAAGGAAGAGTTGTATTTAATACAAAACCAATGCACATCTTATTCAAGAGACCATGTGTAATAATCCTCAGGAAGTGGTACAAGGCTGCTGTTCAGATATGGCTATTACTTTTAAGGGACTGACACCCAAAAAGATGATAGTGATGATGTACGGTATGCACTGGCTCAGGGCATTCATTATTTCAACAGCACACTGGTCTTCTTGCCTCCAAACGGTTCAGAAAGTGACTGACGGCTGGGGAATAATAGCATTGTGCTGTCCAAAAGCACTTAAAATGTGGATTCACTTGAAGTGTGAACTGAGATGTGTAAGTGTAAAATACACACTTAATTCAATAATACACATATTATTTGAAAACCAATACAAAAAGTATAAGCTATCCCAGTAATTTTATATGTTGACTCACATTGAAATAATATTTTTAATATGTTGCATTAAATAAAATACAAAATTCTGTTTCATTTTATTAATTTGTTTAATAGAGAATTTTAAATTACGTATGTGTCTCAGATTATATTTCTATTGGATAACAAAAGTGTAAAACATTCCATTGTCACCATATGTATTAATTTAACTGCCTGTCCCCAGAGCAGCATTTCAAAGACCATTTATTGCAGGGATCTAACTTCTAGAAAAGGTTTCAAGTATTTGGGTACATAAATAGATATTTCCTAAGTGCATTCTCTGGACCCCATATCATCTTTAATTTTTGTGAAAATATTTCAAAATTTAATAAGCAAGTACTGTTGTCTAAAAGCATTCTATTGAGTTACTGTTATAGACTATGGCACTGCATAGAAGCAGCTGGACAAGCACTGTCTCCAGTCTAGGATATTCTTTAAACCAAAACAAACCAAAACAAACAAAAAAACCAACTGGCAGGTACACGCCAACACTACATTCTTCCACTACTGACAGTGGGCTGACAATCATCGCCTCTACAGTGTAACTACAACATTATATTTTTAAGGAAAATTTTGCACTCATGGAGACTTAAGCTCAATTTTGAATATTGCTGAGGTTGCCAGGAAAACCCACAAACAAGTTGGTGATCTGTAAAATTTTGCTAGCAGAAAAAAAAAAAAAAAAAAAAAAAAGATTACTGACATACCTGTTCAAGTGGCCAAAATCCAGAACACTCACAACACCAAATGCTAGTGGATGTGGAGCTGAGGATGTGGAGAAACAGGGACTCTCATTCATTGCTCACGGGAATGCAAAATGGTATAGCCACTTTGGAAGACAATTTGGCAGTTTCTCACAAAACTCTTACCATACTCTTAAACATACCCTTACCATATGATCTAGCAATCGCACTTCTTGGTATTTATCCAAAGGACTTGAAAACTTATGTCAACACAAAAAACGTGCATACAGATGTTCACATCAGCTTTACTCATAACTGCTAAAACTTGGAAGCAATCAAGATGTCCTTCAGTAGGTGAACGGAAAAATAAACCACGGTACACCCAGACAATGACATTATTTAACACTAAAAGGAAATGAGCTATGAAGCCATGAGCAGACATGGAGGAAACTTAAATGCATATTAGTCAACGAAAGAAGCCAATCTGAAAAGGATGCAACTGAGGTGGGGGATGAATAAACAGGGCACAAGAGCTTTTCAGGGCAGTGAAAATACTCTGTATGATACCCTAGTGATGGATACATGTCATTAGACATTTGTCCAAATCCATGGAATGTACGAACTTTGGGTTATTATAATGTGTAAATGTAGGTTCATCAATTTTAACAAAGGTACCAGTCTGGTGGGGGATGTTGATAATGAGAGAGGTTATGCAGGTGTGGGGGCAGGGAATATATGGGAGATTTCTGCACCACCCAATTTTTTTGTGAACCCTAAACTGCTCTAAAAAATGGAAGTCTTGAGAGAAAAAAATAAATAAATAAAAGGAGTGAATACTTTCCTAAAAGGATTGCTATGGTCTGAATGTTTGTGTTCCCCCCAAATTCACCTTGGAATCCTAACGCCCAATGTGAGGGTGGGACTCTAGCCAATGGGATTAGTACTTTTATAATGGAGATCCCACAGAGCTCCTGAGCCTCTTCTGCCAGGTGAAAATACAAGAAGTCTAAAACCCAGAAGAGGGCCCTAACCTGGCGTTGCTGGCACCCCGATCTCAGACTTCCAGCCTCCAGAATTGTGAGAAATAAATTTCTATTGTTCATAAGCTATGCGGTCTGTCGTATTTTGTTACAGCAGCATGAACAGACCAAGACAGAAATTGGTCCCGAGAGTGGAGTGCTGCTGTTAACAAATACCTAAAAATGTGGAAGTGAGTTTGGAATTGGGTAATCAGTAGAAGCTGGAAGAATTTTGAGGTGCATGGTACAAAAACCTACATTGCCACAAACACACCATTTAAATTGCATTTAAAGCAATTCCAGTGAGAACTCAGAAGGCAAAAAGGAAAGCTGTGGAGAAAGCTTCAGTTTTCTTAGAGAATCCCTGAGTGGTTGTGAACAGAGTATTAGTAGAAATATGATGGATGGTAAAGGCCATTCTGATGAGGTCTCAGATGGAAATAAAGAACATGTTAATGGAGACAAGAGGAAAGGTGATCCTTGCTATAAAGCAGCAAAGGGCTTTGCTGAATTGGATTCTTGTCTTGGGGTTTTGTGGAAGGTAGAACTTGTGAGTGATGAAACCGGATATTTGACTGAGGAAATATTTCTAAGCCAACTGTTGAAGGAGTGGCCGAATTCTTCTTGAATGCTTATAGTAAAATGTGACAAGAGAAATGATTTAAAGATAGTTGATCAAAGAGGAAATAGAACCTAAAAATCTGGATACTTTTCAGCATTTCCATATTGAAAGAAATGGGAAAGTCTGTTCAAGAGAGGACAGGGTGTGACCAAACCACCTTTTGATTAAGGGGTCAGTATGGGTTTGAACCAAAGAGTTAGGTAGCGACTGAAGAAGGAAAAGTCCATGTGAACTGAAGAGGAAGGAATGAGGCTGGCTGTTGGACTTGGATTTTACAGGATGGGATCTTAGAGCTATGGCTATAACATCGGGCAATTCTTCAAGGCAAGGAGGAAGGACCCTAAATGCAATTCAGAAATCATCAGAGCTGCCCCTTCAATTTCACAAACTTGCGGTGGGGCATTTCCTGGGTTTCAGCAGGCCACACAACTTCCAACCAAACCAAAGTGCTGTTTCCCAAAGCCATGGGGGGCTGACCCCTGCCCAGCAGAGCAACTGGGAGCATGGCTACCTCCACCTAGATTTGGAAGGATGAAACTGCCCAGAGCTGCGAGCGTACAACCCAAGCACAGGGCCACTTCAAGGGCAAGGCCACCAGAGAACCCCAACCAGGGCAATTCCCAATCAAGGCCATGGGGGTGGGGCCACCCCTTGGACCCCAGACTGGTAGAACCATCAGTGTGCAACTGCAACCCATGAGAGCTGCCCTGCAAAGCCACTGGGCTGCAAATGCCCCTCAGGGTCTAGAAGGTGAGACCCCTCACCCCCAGCTGATCCAGAAGCTAGGACCTCCATCCCAGAGGGTTGAACATCTAAAGATTATTCTCAAGTCTTAGGATTTAATGTTAGTTGCCTTGTGGGGTTTTAAACTTGCTTGGAACCTGCTGTCCCTTCTTTCTCTCCTATTTCTTCTTCTTGGAATGAAAATATCTATCTTATGTCTGTCCCACCATTGTATTTCAGAAACACATAACTCGTTTGGTTTCACACGTTCACAGCTGGAAGGGATTTCCTCAGAATAAATCATACCTTGAGTCTTACCCATACATGATTTACATGAGACTCTGCACTTTATAGACTTGTAAGTGGATGCTGGAAGAGCTATTAAGACTTTTAGGGCTGTCGGGAGGGAATGAATGAATTTTGTTTGAGAGAAGGACATGAATCTGAGGGGCCAAGTATGGAATACTATGATCTGAATGTTTGTGTCTCCCCCCAGAATTCACATGTTGGAATCCTAACACCCACTGTGGTGGTGTTAGGAGGTGAGGTCTTTGAGAGGTGATGAGGTCACAGGGGTGGGACCCTCATGAATGGGATTAGTGCCCTTATCCTTATCAGAGAGATCCCAGAATGCTCCCTAGCCGTTTCCACCATGTGAAACGTGAGGATACAATGAGAAGTCTGCAACCTCTGAGGTTGCATTGTGAGGATACAATGAGAAGTCTGCAACCTCTGAGGGAAGAGAGCCCTCACCTGACCTAGCTATACCCCTGACCTCAGATCTCCAGCCTCCAGAACTAGGATAAATGTCTGTTGTTAATAAGCTATATAGTCTGTAGTATTTTGTTATAGCAAAGCAAATTAAGTCAAGGACTATAGAGATATCTGGTCAAATTTCTCTTTCTGAAGTTGGGTTTCTAGTGTTAACAGGGCAGAAGCCTTCTCTCTTTGCCTCACTGTTACATACCCTAATACAGGTCTTTATACACAGTAGGTATTCAGTATATTATAGATTATTAAATAAAATTACATCTGTAAAGCACTATGCATATATGAAGGATAGTGTGGTTACTGCTGCCAAATAACTTTTCTTCTGCTCCTATGGCACGGACTCTCTACCTAGTACTATTTTCCCAACTAAAGTTGCTTAAAGACAGACTTCACGTGTGAGGACCCTTTATATCCTCCATAACATGTTGCACATACCAGCCATACAGTAAAACTCTAAAAGCTCAGTAGCAAGCAATAAATAACCTTACC